GGAGAGGAGAGGAGAGGAGAGGAGAGGAGAGGAGAGGAGAGGAGAGGAGAGAGGAGAGGAGAGGAGAGAAATCCGTGATGGGGCTCTCGCACCTGTGACAGCACAGGGGATGGGTTACAATGGGGCTGTCACCAGAGGTCCCAGCAGGCAGGGCTGCTGCAGTGCAGCCTGGGCCAGCAGTGAGTGTGAGTGCTCACCCAGAGGGGACACTGATCTGGACAAGGGCTCCTTGGGGAGATTCTCACCCTGGACTGAGGGTCCAGCCACTCAGGGGAGCACCTTGGACATGGCACAGTGCCACCCAGTTCCCTCGCCCCATCTCCTACCTACCCTCAGGTCCCTGTGGTTACCGCCCCTGCTCCCCCACCACCAGCTCCCTCCTGCCCAGCTTCACTGAGACCCCTTCTCTTTGGTCTCCTGCAGGCCATGCCTGTCATCTTCTTCATGACCCTCGCTGTTCTAGGCATTGTCCAGAACCCACTGCAGTTGGGTGACAAGCTGGATGCAATCACACACAGGTTTGCAGCAGACCGCAGAGCAACTGATCTGGAAGATGGCTCAGCTGCTGCAGTATATAGAGCAGATCCAGGAGCAGAACATGGTGACCGGGAACATCCTGATCCTTGCTGCCTTCCAGAAATGGTGGTTCTGGGCCTTTGGTCTCAGGGCAGGAGCCTTCTGCTGGAGGACCAGAAAAAGAAGCCACTAGCCAGAAAGCAGCTGCAAGTGGGGCAGCCCCAGAAGTGAAGAGGAGGAAGAGGAAGAAGTAGAAGACAACAACTCTGGTGACATGTGATCTAGGCAAATTTTTGGCCAATAGCATGCAGTGGCCAGTGCCATACATGGGTGATACATGCAGGTTGATGGAGGATCTGGTAGATGAGCTTGTTAGTGCCTGCCAAAGATTTTCCAGGTGTAACTTAAAGCCACAGCTGCAGGCAGCCATTGGGATGGGCTGTGTCTATGAAGGTTGGAGTGCCTGGGAGGACAATGTCCTCTACTGCCTGCTTGTACCCCTGCAGCCTCCTCCTGGGCATGCCTTCCACTTGGAGCTGGTCATCACATAGGAGATAATGACCAACGACTCCTGCCTCCATGTGCAGCTACAGTGCATGTGCATGATGCAGCAGCTGGTGGAGGACACACTGTGCTTCCTCCACTACCATAAGAATGAGCTGAAAAGTCAAGATCCCAGCCTCCTGAACACCCTTTCAACCAACTCTTACTTAGGTATCAAGAAAACTGCCTGCTGGTTCCAGATGTTGGTGAAAGACACCTGGAAGTTTATTCCTTAGTCACACCACTGCAAGCTGACAGTGCTGCCAACTATGCACTCTTGAAAACTCAGGCTAATGAACACCTCCTAGGAAACCCTGTCCATTGAGATGATTTTGGGGGTGCAGCTAGATGACTCAGACTGCTTCCTGAGCCTTGAATATGAAGAGCACAGCTTTACCACAAGCATGACATGGCAGGAGAGCTATGATGTGGCTGAGATGCGGTTCACCAGGCATAGCCAGCACAACACCTTCCATCCCAGAAGTGAGAACTTACTAGAACAAAAATGAATATATGAATACCTAAAAAGCAAATCCTGTGCATAGTAGATGAAACTTTGTTAAAAAAAAAAAATCCTATTTTTTTTTAAAGAACAACGTTAAGTTATGAAGTTTCTAAAAAGAAACTTACTCTGCACTTCTGCTGTAATACATTAAATAAATCTAAAAATTAATTAATTATTTTAAATAAATTTTCTTACTAATATATAGTCTGTATGCCAGTTTCCTGTAAATATTGTAAGTTTATAGGGAATTTCATTAGAATAAATTTACTCTAATATTAAAGTTGACACAATCTTAACTTTAGACATTCACAGAATCACAAAATCACAGAATCACAGAATGGTAGGGGTTGGAAGGGACCTCTTAAGATCACTGTCATGGAGGCACCCACACAACAAGTAGAACAGTCACTCAGAACACCCCTACAGACCTGAGCAAACTACAAGCACGGTCACCAGGCAGAGGCACTCACAAAACAGACAGAGCAACTACTACAAAAAATGAGGATTCATTCCAACTAAAGTTAGATAACACTCCGATAGACAAAAATAAGGTTTGAATGTCAGTGGGGAACATATTACTACACATCTGTCTTAAGAATTTCTAAATTATTTGGACAGGCCTTTAGGAAAACAATTTGAAATGTGCACTTGTTCACCCACAAAAGGGGGAAAATCTCTCACTCAAGGGTATGGGACTCAGAGACTACACTCACTCACCCAAAAGGGCAAGGGCTTACTCAAGGATATATCCAGCAGTATTCACTCACCCAAGATGGGGGATGAGGGCACTCAACCCTGGGTAGTTTCCTCAGGCAGCATCCAGACTGAAGCAGAGTCCCAGACTTCAGACCTGCTGCTCGGAGCACAACGGACTCAAATCGGCTCTCTGGCGGGGCCCCGTTTATACCCGAGTCGACTCTGGCCTGTGGTCATGTTTAATTAAGTTTGTGCCAGCAGGAGAAGACAAGGTAACAAAGTTTCCAATGGTAGGAAAGAGGCCATGTCCGGGTGTTTTGTCTAGTCTACTGAAAGACCTGCTCGTTATAGGGTCTTTAGTGAGCCCTAGCCATTTTCAGACCCAGCACGGGTGGGTGCACCTGCCACAATCACGTAGTCCAACCCCCCTGCTAAAGCAGGTTTACCTAGAGGATGTTGCATACAACTGCATCCAGGCAGGTTTTGAGTATCTCCAGGG